GGCAAATGCTTCTTTATCTTCTTTTGTTTGGCATGTTCCAATCTGCAATGGGTTTTTCCATTAAGGTTAGTTTTTTTGTTTGTTTTTGTTTTTTTGAAATAATTATGCATTATTCTTTGAGCAACAACACATCTTAGCAGAGTTCAAAAAATAGAAGGCAGAGTAGATAATCCAAACACAATTCCCATGTGTGTCATACATCATGAAAGCTTGTAGGGACACAGAAGTTTTCGGTGCCCATTTCCTGCCCTGATCCCAAAGCCCCACAGGAAACGTATCTCTTTCACACCTATCATTTGCTTCAGATTCAACAGAGAAAATGCACTCCTGGAAGCTTCTCCTCTCATACATGCTGCTACCACACTTTTGGTATCCAGGGATTCCAACAGGGTTCTTTCAGGATAGAACCCCTACTGAGAATTTGCATTTCCACCCCAGATATACTGAATCAAAATCTGCATTTTAACAAGATCTCCAGGTGATTCTTATGTATAACTTTCTGGGAAATTGTTAGAAATGCACATTCTCAGCAAAGAACTTGTTAGAAATGCAAATTCTCAGCAGGAGTTTGAACCTTAAGAAACCAATGGTATCTGGGCTGCATCCCCCTGAATCACAGACATTCAGCTCAGTGACCTAAATTAAGCAATTTGCAGAGACGAGTGTTTAATGATCTTAATTGCAATAATCTCTAATACTAGTGAAAGTGGATTGTAAGGAACATATATTACTATCAATCCTATTCACAAAGCATTTGTTGAAAATTAAACCATTCCTAGCAACATTTACCTTCAACATAACAGGCCTCTCTTCATCTGTGTCTATGGGGATGCTGGTACTGGTTACCCATGTGTTGGTACATAAATGCCTTAACCGAACATATGAGTTCCTAAAAGAAAAATATCATTTTTAAAAAAAGACTATAAAAATTAAGACACTTTCATAGTAAATATTTATACTATCACATATGATATGAATATAAATATATGTTAGACTAATATTTGACTCA